GGTCAGATCATTCAAATGTGCCTGTGCTTTCTTCAATTAATCCCATGAAATAATTAAATTAAAATCTTTTTTTATAGTTTTGAATATTTTATTATCTTGGGCAATGGGGAAACACATGTCACTAATGCATATTTATGTAATATGTTACTATAGTGCTACAATATGCCTAGATGTCAGAAATTAGCTTTAGGGTGAGGATCATGATCTTCACCTGGGAGACTTGTTAATTAGTAGTAATCATGAAGTTCAACAAAAATAAATAAATAAACATAACGACCTGCTGGAATTCAACAATTTAAAAATGCACTTATTACCAAAATAAGTAAAAGACAGGGCTGATGGTCATTTAATGCTGTGAATCTCCTCACATTAAACCAACAAACACAATAAAATTCTACTGAATTTATTTTATTTCTGGACATTGATTTTTGCGGTGTAGCGGAAAAATAAAAATACACCTAGCTAAAGTGATTTATTTATTTTTTTTAATTTTGAGATCAGGGATGGCGCCACGATCGGGATAATGAAGCTAAAGCCCCAAATGCCTTTTAGTCATGTTTTGTTCATTATATGTAAAATGTATATTGTGGTTTTGTTGTTATGAAACACCAAATTCAGCGCCACAATGAACACGGAGACAGAATTTTATACTTTTATATCTTTTTTTATACGCATCGGCAGACCCTAGAACCGATGCTGGTTTCGAGGTTTTTTTTACATAACTGTAAAATCAAGGGTTAAATAATACGATGCCAGCAGGTGGAAGCAGCAACAAATTTTTACGTCTCTAGCTTTTTACTAGGGCACATACGATCAAAAAGAGAGCAGGAAAAAAGACAGGAAAAAAAAATAAAGTAAAATGAAATATCTGAAATATATGGTTAAGTATGAGTTAAGACAAGAAGTGATAGAAAGGTGAGTCTTCATGGTGAGAATGGGGTAAGAGTATACTCACAAAAAGCTTGGCAATGAAAGAAAGTCACAGTTGCGTACAAGGAAAATCGGCAAGTAAAAATTCTGCTAATGTGGTGTAGTGAGGAAAAGACCCCCGACTCTGGGGTGCGATAGACTCCCTGTGATCTTGCCTAAGTGCTCAGGCGCTGAGGGAGGCCTGGGGATTAGAGACTGTGAAAAGGGTACTGCCCGTCCCAGGCTGGAATTCCACCCTGAGGTTCTCCAGACACCAGCCACCACACACATACACCCCTCCCCCCCCCAAGCTGCCGTCCCAGTCCACCCCGGGGAAAGCGATATGACCGTGCCCTCGTCGCATTAGGCCAGATAGCGGCTAGTTGAATCGCTAGCGCAGGACCTACGTGTGAGAAATATCCACGTGGTAATAAAACAACGACAATAAAACTAATAAATGTCAGACGTGGAGCGCTTACTGGAGTACTTAGCTCGTCGTTTGAAAAAGAAACATGCTGAAACAACTTACACACTATTACAGTATAATAATAATTTTTTAAAAACCTAATTCAACACTCCACGTAATTTGAAAGAGAAGGCGTGTTCTTCATTACGGTTCACAAAAAAGCACAGACAAAAAATTAAAAATAAAATAAAAATAAAGAAAACTTTAAAAATAATATAGAAGGAATATAATTAAGTAATCTACTAAACTACTAAAGACTTCCTGCTCATTCATAACTTGCTCTTCAGTACACATTCATACATAACAATATACAATTATGTATGAATTATGTATGAATTATGTATAATGTTATGAATGTTCATATGAATGTTATGAATTACAATTATGTAAACAATATACAATATATGGTATGTTTATCTATGATTATGTATGAAAGAATTCACTTTGAGGTATAATCAGTCATTCATTTACTTCTTTGCAAATGCAGACACATGAAACATGGTAGATATTCGTGCACTATCTGCTGGATTTAACTGTATGGCCTTGATACGCGGAACTAAAAATGCCCCGTAGTCATACAGGCTTAAGATTTTTAAGTGTTTTTGTTTTGTTGGAATAAAATGAACCACATGATTGAATTACTTTAGCTTTAGTTTTTTTAAAACCAAACCAAATTATTTGAATTATTGTACATATTTAGACTATCTACATCTAATTGTCACAGAAGCAACATATAAACCTATTTAAAGGAATGATCAAGAGTCAGTCAACATGTTTTAAGGTTAGTAAAGGTTAAACACTGTGTTTATTATGACTTTGGGATGTGAATTTATGTATGTTATGAAGCTATGGGCTGGTGTTTTCTTGTGTCTGTGATGTCATCTAAATACTAGCTATGCTATAAACACAAAGTGTTCTTACTCTTCACCTCAGCATGACATTCATCAGGATAAGTAAACTTTTTGAGCCAGCTAGAAAGAGCTTTCAGCATAGACACAAAAAAATGCATTTCAAAGGGGACATTTTCAAGTGATGTTAGAAACTTATAAAATATGCCAAAGCATTATTATTATTATTATTATTATTATTATCCTGAATAATGAATCAATCCAGTCACAAATTCAATCCGTAGGACAAAATGATCTAACATGACATTTAATCAGCCATAATGAACAACATTTTCTCTAAATAAATAGTTACATCCATCCATCCATCCATCCATCCACCCATCTATACCTGCTTCTCCTATGCAGGGTCATGGCAGTAGGGAGCCTTAGTTAAATACACGCCAATAAATATTAATACTTTACTGTAACGCATTAAGTGACATGTAGCATCGTGCAGTTTATGAATCAGCATGGAGAAGGTACAACACAAGTAATTACCACATAATACTCAGAGTACTTAATACATCAGTGCGTCAACTGAGGTACTTGTGTAGAACTTTGTGTACCTCTTGACTGATTGTATAAATATGGATTAATCATATGAAAACTTCATTATCAACATTTTCATTGCATGTTCTTGGTGCTTGTTCTCACAACAGTTTAAATCTGAAATATATTTATGCACTGATTAAATAAAGCCAATAAAAGCGAACAATATTTAACTTCATTATAACTAATAAATATAAATATTTTCACTTATAAATATACCCATGAATTTTATGCTGTTGTATACATTTGGAAATCTTACATAAAAAAAGAAAATGAATCTGTAATTTAAAAGATTCCTCAAGGTTTCAAAACACCAAATGTCAAAATACTCTCACAGTTAACAGACAGTCTTGTTTGTCCTTTTATATATTTCTAATTAATAAGTGTGCCACAGGTTAAATGTTACTGATTTTAAAGATACCTCTTTCAAATCTTTAATCGAAATGAATGAAAACACTGCAATGGTCTATAATCATGGTGATTTTCCACACAATTTATGGCCTTAATGTTGGCTTGTATAATTTTAAGGCTTTCAGTAAGAAAGCAACTCATACACATATTTCAAACTGTCACAGGCCTCCATAACTGATCACCTTTGAGCGGGACGTGACCCCAGAGACAACAGGTCCTTAAGCTTGGTGCATCAACATAGACCTACTGAGAAAACAGACATGCAGCCAGTGACTATCTAGTCATCAGAGTCTCATTTCTGGTGGTCACCTCCAAGAGTAATACATTTCAGGGCAGTCTGATGGGTATGAAGGAGAGGATTTAATGTAGGTTACTCCTTCTCGTGTTCAGATACTTAAATACAGCCTTACATCTTCTACTTAACATGGAGTAAGTGCCAAATAAGATGATAGTTGCTGTTGTTGCTTTCAGATTGGAAAACAGATTTCATAGATTTACATCTCAGCAACCCAAAGCACTTTATATCATTTTTCAGACTTAATAACTACAAAAACACAAGGTATAATGCTGCTTAGGTGAAAATGAATAATTAGTATAATAATTCATTATTGAAATTCAAGGGAAGAGAATTTAACTTTTCCATTTACATTTGGTATCGTTTTCTAACCATCTGGAATGAAATTAGAAATTAGTTTGAGTACTGGAAAAAAAAAACGTTTTCCTTTTATTTGATATTGATTCACGCCGAGATAAGAAGTTAATACGAAGATGAAATAGATTAGTGCACCGTAAAATTTAATCTGAATTCTCTTCTCCTGGACGTACGTACACTGCATCTAACTTCTCTGAGAGACAGATGGATACGCAGCAAGCCCCTGATGGACAGTTTGAGCTTCCCGAATTAATGCAGCTACTAGGCTTGAGCAGTACATACAGTATAAATTTAATCAACGCTAGTTCTCTGTATTGGCTTATCTGTACTCACAGAATATAATGCTATGCTAATGGATGTTTACTTTTTTTCCTCATCAATGGATTTTTTTGCTGCCAAACTAAGCAGGACGACAGTATATTATTATTATTATTATTATTATTATTAGTATATAGCAGTAGTAGGAGGAGGAGGAGTAGTATGTGTGCATGCAGCCTAAGAGTAACGATAAGATTTTTCGCTGTAAAGTCTGAATAGGCATTATTTGGTATGCCGTTGCATATTTAAGCTTTCTCTGAAGAAAAACAAAAAAATAATACTATATTTAAACGCAAATAAATTACATGGTTATTGTACGCTCTACAGTTGTCTGTTTATTAACAGATTTATAAACGTAAGATATACTAAGATTTAATAGTATCTATGTTACATCGTTATGTGTAGCAAAAAACAAAGACTATTTCTTGGAGTTAAGCAGAGAGACACAAAAGTAATATTTATTTAAATACAATGTCGATATTTAACTTAATTTAGCGGAACGCTCTTAATAGTTTACTTTTCCAATTTGATTTTCTTTTTTAAAAAAAAAAAAAAAAAACAATGATAGTAGGCCTGAGTAATAGTTCAAAATTGAAATCCCTCTACTTTGTTCCTGAAAGTTTGGTGTTCCGGCAGAGGGCGCTGTCTCCCCGCTAGAATCCACGCCGCCCCTTCATCGTCTCTCCCCTGCCCAGCATGGGCGACGGTATTCTTCTTGTGGTAGCTCGGCAGCTTTCGGGGATAGTTGGGGGTGTGACTAGGAGAGACTGGCAGCTACTTTAACTATAACCCCTCCTCTTCTCCCCACAGTCTTGCACTCCTCGGGAGCCCGGGGAAAGGCAGTCTTTATTCCAGCTATATAGCCCTACACGCACCGCAGCAGCTTAAACTCGCTACCACACCGATGATTTACTCAGGGACTTACAATGTTTGCAGTAAAACGTTTTATTATTCTTCATGGGTTAGTTGAACACGCCTGAATATAGACTTGTTGGTACGATCAATGATTGACTGCATTATGATTGTCATGCAGAAAGCGACGGGGGCAATTTGAAGGAGCCTTCACAGCTTCGGTGGATTTGTTTGGTTCTACCAAAGTTGTAAATCAGCAGGGGAACATCAATGATCGCAGTGGCCGAGTGCAGTACGGTGACTTACCTTACTTGCTCAGTCGTCAAATGCTAAATTTACGTGCTGCAGGACTTTGGTCCAGGCAAGGTCTTCTCTTAAGCAGCAAGAGGACTCTTCCTCCGAGCATTGAGGAAAAAAGAAATAAAGACAATATGATGAATGAATGGTTGAACATTTCTGAATAGACTTAGCTGGAGGAAGCTTCAAGACATTTGGGGATTTTATTCAAATTCACTCTGGAACTTATTTTCATGTTCGCGCTCTCTGCTTTATGACAATGGATTATTTACTGTTTTTATGCAATTTTTTGCTGCCTGCAGCATTAGCTGTAGAAGGTAAGGCACCCATCATCTATTATTTAAAAAATATAACCGTACTAGTTAAATATAAAGAGAAACTATATGTATTGCGACACGCTTTCAAAACACACCCATGAATAAAACAGATGCACATGTACACAGGTCAGTTCCTTGTATTTCGACGGTTTTGGGATAAACGCATCAAATATATGTGAGTATATATTCGAGATATTAGAAGTTGACACATCCCTGCTGTTTTAGATATCCCGATCATGCATGATGTTTTGGAAAAATCCCTCTGAAGCCGATGTACGTGGCCACCACGGCAGCGTACCTCTATGGATAAGCATTACTAATTTCTACCTGTACCTTAGGATATCGTAATACGATTTATTGAGAATTACTGTGTCTGTGATGCACCTCTATTCAGTTTCACTCAAAAGAAATTAGCACAACACGATCTATCAGCGGGTGGGGGGGGACCCCCTTTCCTAAAACTATCGTCTCTGGCTTGTCTGTGTAAACCGGTGCCCATAGACAAAATCAAAGTCCCAAGAAAATACACACATTTCCTGATTTTCTCCAGTCCGTTGCGCCATTTAATTCAACAATTAAATGTTTAATGTTATGATATAAGTATAATTATCGGCTTCGTCTTTACTGGAATTAAACGGCGCTGCGCTTCAACTTCTGCGCCCTAGTGAAGTTACAGCTGAACGCAGAAGCAACGAAACAGCCCGGGGTCCCTCTTCGTTTCTGCTGTACTTATTCAAATGAAATCGGATATATTGGACATTAAATTACATCGGTCACAGTTTTACCAATTTATATCAGTGTTGATACACACGCGTTGTCTGCCTATAGACACATAAGTATGCGCTTAGATGAGGGCCATAATAAATGTGACGCGTTAACATATGTTTGCGGGTTTACTTTAAATAATCAGAGACAAAACGTTAACATTAAATTCTGACAACCGGTCTATGTTTTCGCGTAACACTGCGCGCTACCAGAGACTGACTGCACTGTAAAAAACTGCGTTTATATGCACAGAAAGCTGGGTTTAAAACATTTTAACATTAGTCAACGATTTTTATATCAACTGGCTTTTGGATGCTTTTGTTTCTCTCTCTTTTTTTCTCTTTTAACACGTTTAAATGCAAAAGAAATGCCTAAACTGGGTGACTAATTCATACTGTTCCAGCTTACGGCTGCCAGCGCACCATTCCCACCCGGCAGAATACACATCACCTACCCTCTGCCTTTAACGTTCTTTCCTCTCTGATTACAAAGATAACGACTTTAACACGCTGGTATGTTTATGTATCCTGACTACCTTCTATATTCAGAGACGAAGTGACTTATTTGTGTTCTTGGTAACGCTATCGATCCCATTCCTTAATATTGCCAGGTATCAGTTGGGAATGACTAACATCACCGCCGTGTAAAATAAATAAACTTCCAGCTGCAATATAGTGTTAGGAAACAAAATGATTTTAAATGCAGATATAAAGTGGATACTTTGATTAGTTTCTGCCTGTCCTGCTCGAGTTATGTAGGATTCAACAAGTAGCCTAATATATCAATAAATCAAAATCTGCTCGAATCCGGCAGAGTGAAATTATTCTGAAACCTGTTTGGAACCAATATACTCCGATCATGTTTATTTTGATATGTATTAATTTCTTCCTTATCTTCATATATACGTGCATGTATATCCTATCGACACTGTTTCTTTCTCAAGCCCAACTTGTGGCACAGTGCTAGAAAAAAAAAGTGAAGCGTGTTGCGCGCGCAAGGCGATAAAGGACTGCGAACAGGGAGTCGCGTCGTGCCGAAGTTGATATATTTTGTTAAAGCAATCTATTTCCACCTTAAGTGGTGCCATAAATTTCCGCGCTGACCTGGTTCGGGATTTAGCTAAGCTTTTATTATGGCTCGGTGATATATGGCCTGCTCCGTGGCTTTTGGTGATCCCGGGAGAGCAGCGACTAAAGGGCGCTAGCCGGCATGGAGCGCTGGGCTGCACTCCAATAACGTACAGAATAATACTGATAACATGTACCTACACAAACAGAATTAATATCCCACGTCTTCATCGTTCAAAATACTGTTCAGTTCAGTTCTGTAGCCTGATAGGAGCAATACAGTTAAAGTGTATATATATATAATTTAAGCATTCAGAGATACTGCATTCTAGCCCATATCAAACCATCCACAATCACAAGTTCTTTACTGTTAAATCTAATGTGAATAACGCAGATAATGTAAGCTTGAATTAACGATCCTATTTGAGACAAACGCCCCAAGGAATGCAGAAGACATGTTATTTAATGCCTCAAGTATCTATTTTGACAGGTTTCCTCATTGATCCATACTGCAATTACTCCTGACCACAAACTTCTCAATGGGAACTATGTTTAATTAAAATGTATGAACTATATGAATTTAACATTACTGTTTTGTAAAAGAAATAATTTTAATTTATGCAGAGACTGGGTTTGCAGTAATAAGTCCTACTAGCTTTAAAGACTTTGCACAAACAAAAAAAAAAAAATCGGATTTGTAGGTCAAAGTATCCTGCATGCAGTTAAGGCTCTCATCCTTAGCTGTCAGAAATCACACTTTCATATCTAATAATATCGTCCTGACTGTAAGCTTTTCTCCCCACATCTTAGGATTTTTTTTTTTTTTTTTTATTGAACCAGTTTTTACGAGACGCGAGACAAATTTCATATCACTATGAAGTCAGCACCAGAAAACAACGTGCTGGAAAACTTTACTAAATGGCTATTTCTTACTTTGACGTTGCGATTTCTCTTTTCTTCAAGGATTTTACAGTGTCAGCGACATTTCAGTGCACTATGGCCTACTGTAAATCCCATTAATTATATTATGGTCTACAAATCCACAAATGGTACACAATGCAAAATAACGCCATTGATCACTATTTGGTGACAAACATTTAGTCCTTCACTTAAACATTTAAGAAAATAATCATTTCAGTTGCTAAGGTGTGTTTTCCAAAGACCACGCTAATTTTTTACTAATATATTTTCTTAAAATTTTGGAATTATTATTATTATTATTGTTGTTGTTGTTGTTACAAGAACAGAAGTTTTGCAGTGTCACGGTTTACTATTTTTATAGTACCAAGTACATATGTCTCAGAGGACGATATAAAGTCTAATAGACTTTATAGTGTAGTTTCTACAAGAAATTTACTAGATTCTTAAAAAATCCTCAGAAAATTCTCCAGTTGAGTCTTTACACGCGTCTAATTTATTATGACTATTCCATGTTTATTTATAGAAGTTTATACAATCTAATTTTGGGGCTCACTGTCAGGTTTAGGTATAAGTTTTCCTTCCATTAAATAATTACATAACGTCACGTTGTAACACCTCAGAATTAACTGCCAGCCCTTATGTTGTGACATTGGGTTAATTTGTATGATTTCATTACGATTCAGAAAACTTCAGCAGGATCTCCCTGCCCTCCCTTCTGCCGTTCTCATCTGTCAGCTCGATCTTTTAAACTTCAGCAGATTTAATTTACTCCTGTCCTATTGTGAAGACAATATGCACAGTGATTCAGAATAGCATTAACATGTATTTCTTCGTCCCTCTGAGTTGAATCACACCTCTGCAGGCTCCTTCCTGTGCGTTTCGTAGCGTGCGGCTCGCAGTGTTTTCAGGTCTGGTTTTAATCCTCTTCACTCTGCTGTGCTTGGAAGGCCTTTCATTATTATTATTATTGCTTAACCCATTGGAAACCAGCAGGGGCCATTTTGTTCTGAACACTTACTCCTAGTTAAGCAAAGGAATCAGAGCCAAGCTTCATTAGAATACCACTGACAATGAGTTTACCAGGCCCTGCAGGCCACTGAGGGATAAACAGATAGAGACGGAAAGATCTGGAACCATGTTGGTTGTGTTTTTTTTTAAAGGAATGGCTGTTTGAGCGGCAACGCAGTGGTGTGGTGATGAGGCTTTTTTTTTTTTTTTGAAGCAGTGCTTTAAGAAAGAATTCCGAAAAAAAAAAAACAAGACAAAAACCATTCATTTAACCAAAAGTAATTTCTGTGCACTTTCCACTTGCAACAAAGCTATTAGATCGTGTCACCAATTTAGTTTAAATTGCAAGTTAAAATATGACGGCAGATACTGAGAATAATAGCATCATTTAGAAACAGAAAAAAAGAAAGTGATTTCCAGGACGGCTTTATTAACAACAAAATTCTGGGTAAACTGATGGCAAATTAGATCCCACAGATTAGCAAGTGTAGAAGAGTCATAATGGGACGATTTTCATGGAGATGACATCAGAGGCCTTGTCATGTGTTCAGTCCTGTTGATGGGTTCTCTGTGAGAATGCACCAAACTCGCACCAGTGAGTACCCATTTAACTCTGAGTACAAACCAAGTATCTGAATGGTGATACAGCAAATCTTGGGGTTCTTTTTGTTCTGATTTTTATTACTGCTTATTCACCAGAAAAGAATGTACCGAACAGAAAAGCCAAGGTTACGAGTAAAAGTTTATAATGCAATATCAGGTTATTGCGATTCGAGCTATTTACAGCATTCGGCATGGGACTTCATTCACCAGTGAAAACTGGGCATGGTTCACAGGCACCTGACACTGCAGTTAAAGTTACAGCAAACTCTGGAAGCAGAATCCCTTAGAAGTGAAGTGATAGAAGTGACATCAACACTGTCTTACACGAAGCACTCTGAACGTTAAAAATCTGACACGAGTAGTAACAGTTGTTATTCTGAAATAGTATTACATCATCAAGTAAAAGGGAATAAAATTTAATTCCCAAGTTTTTAAAGTAGATAAGCTTTTTGTCCTTTTTTTTATTATGTATGCGACACATTGTGACTTCTGAAGGACTGGAGAGTGGATCAATACTTGTTGAATTGTTGTATAGAAATCCAGAAATAACAGATAATTTGTTCTTTTTACTAGGCGTTTTGTATAGCCTACAAAAGAAAAAAAAACTAGACAGAAAAAAATGTTGAGTAATTCTTT